TTGTAGAACAAACTTCTGATATGTTATAGTTTATTTAGTAGAACAAACTTCTTATATGTTACAGTTTGTATAGTAGAACAAACTTCTTATATGTTACAGTTTATATAGTAGAACAAACTTCTTATATGTTACAGTTTGTATAGTAGAACAAACTTCTTATATGTTATAGTTTATACAGCAGAACAAACTTCTTATATGTTACAGTTTATATAGTAGAACAAACTTCTTATATGTTATAGTTTATACAGTAGAACAAACTTCATGTCATACTTTATATACAGCAGAACAAACTTCTTATGTGTTATATTTTTCATAGTAGAACAAACATCATACCTGCTATATGTTTTATAGTAGAACAAACTTATTATAAGTTTTATTTTATATAGCAGAACAAACTTTGTACAGGTTTTACTGTATACACTAGGACATATTTAGTGTATGTTTTACTTTTATAGTAGAACAAACTTCTTATATGTCATACTTTATATAGCAGAACAAACTTTGTATGGTGTTTTCTTTATATTCTAATAGAATACAGTGGACTCAAGTATAAAGTTCCAACAGTTTAAAAAAAAGGAGATTGTGCCCCAACATTTTTGTTACTTAGCAAAGAAAATATTTAAGAATTCACTTCAACAATAAAAATTAAAATAACGTAATTTTATTAAAGGTGCTAGTAAAACATTTTAACATTAGATGTAATTAAGTAAAACATTTTAACCTTAGATGTAATTAAGTAAAACAATTAACGGTGAGCTTGTTTGGTTCTTGGATTTCGGCGCTAGCCGTTTCTAGCTGAAAGGCAACCAGTCAATATCACCCACCGCCAACTCTTTGTCTGTTCTTTACAAACGAATAAGGGGTTTGACCGGCACATTATAATTCTCCTCCCTCACGGCTAAAAAGACGAATATATTCGGTGACGGAATTCGATCCCGTGGACTCATAGGTTGTGAGTCGAATGGCTTAACAATCGGGCTGTGCCAGGTTTCACAGATGAAAACAAAGCTCTTGAACTAATTATAATTTTTAATGTATTTTGAATGATAATATATTGTAATATTAGTAATTATTGAGACAAATAAAAACATGACGTAACTAAGAACGAGATATATATCTTCCTAACGCCTAGAAATGTGTTGCTATGCAACATTATGGAGCCTTAATAACTTACCTGACCAGCCAAGGAGAATAAAAGCATCAGAAAAATTCTTAGGGGAAGTTTAGCCTTGTAAGCTTTGTGAGACCAGAGTCTGTGGGCGCCAGCTGTTGTTCCAAGACACGACAAGAAGACGGACACAACAGCTGAAAAAGGAAATTGAAATAAAATGAAACAAAGATTATTTTTTTCTTTTATAGCATGCATTTAGTTAAATAAATATTGAAACTCTTAATTTATTTAACCTTTGTCTGTAATTGTCACTAAAATTCAAATACTTGGTAAGATTAAAGATGTCACTTTATTTTCACGATTCAACTGACAGGCTTTGAGTAAACATTAATTCAAGTTATTAATTAAGAACTGAAATTCATCATTTTTAAAGAAGGTATTATTAAATGCACATGTTGGTTGATAAAGTTTTGGATCACCTCATACTGATGTTTTACAATGGTATATTTAAGAGCTAAGAATACTGAAAGAATAAATAACTCAAACAAGGCAGTTTGATTTATATATGTATATCCAAACACCGATGTCAATCTAGTCAGCCGTCATGGAAAATCATAAAAAAATCAAATAAGGGTACGAAGTTGAGTGCTTACACCCACAACGTCACAACTTCTACTGACTTTCACTGTCTCTAGCCAGTTGTGGAAAGACAGTTACCTTTAAATTTCTTAAAGTAGAAATGAAATGAAGCCACTATAATATTTCTACTAATGAAATCCCCCAACCTCCACCATTACAAAAAGATATTAAATAGAACTATAAAATTTTAAATATAACTATAAGATATTAAATATAACTATAAAATTTTAAATATA